CTCCTGCATTGTATTAGTTACATGACACTCAGATCAAATTTATAAAAATAAGGCATTGCAGATTCTATAAATTAAGCAGATACTTGGGAAGTCAGGCAGAATCTGTGGAGAAAGAAACCGTTAATGCTTCAGGTTGATCTCCTTTCTTATATCAGAAATCGAGTAAGTTAAAAATGTAACCTGTTTCGAGTGAGTTAAAGGGGTTGGAAATTGGGATGAGGTACAAAAGACAAGTGTTAATGGTGCAAGAAATTAAACCGAGAAACAGAAGACTTGGTTAGAGCAACGCTGATCAACAGCTGCGATCTGCGGTTTTCCACTTGTTTTACTTTCACTGTGCAAGGGGGGAAGAATAAATCCAATCAGGATGGAGGTTATAGTCTTAAATTCTTGAACCCACGTTCTAGTCCAGAAGACTGTCAAATGCCCTTTTTTGCTTTTTTTTTTTAAAAGATAACTCAACACTGCTGTTCCTTGAGCTCATGTTGTACTTCATTGGAATGCTACAGGAGACTCGGAACAAAGGGTTAGTGGGAGGTGGAAAAATAAAATGAACTGACAGGAAGTTTGGGATCACGCTTGCAATAAAGCTGCATTCAGCATAGCGGTCACTCGGACTGCACTTGGTCCCACGTGAAATCGGGTGTACTGGTTTATAACTAACAAATATAGCGCACAAATTCAAAATTATTATAAATTTTTGACGTGGAAAATTTGCTTGGACTTGGATGGTGAGGAGCGATGGTGTAAATGAAAATAGCTCTACTCTATCCAACACTGAATTGAAAAGGAAGATAATGCAAATGTTTGTCATAAATGGCATTGGTCATGTTCTATCTTTAATATCTCAGCATATTACTTCTAAATGTACATAATTGTTATACCATTAAACTGCTCACTCGAACATTCACCTTTTTTCCATTCTCATGATTATTCTGCACTTTCTCCTTCCTCATTGTGCAAGTGATTATTCTTTATAGGAAGCAAAACATTGGGCTTTGAAGGTTGATGGCTTTAGATTTGAGGTTTTCAAAGCTAGTCGTGAAACCTGGAATGAAGAACTGCAGGCAATAAAAATAAGTGGGCCGAAATTGTGCTACAAAATACTGACCACTTTTTAAAAAAATTTTAATATACTCTGTTGAAACTCAACATCACATTGGCACAATTTCACATCAAATTATAAGTACATTTTGTCAATTCTTAACTCATTTGCATGCCACTGTGTCTTTTAAGAACTAGGTTAGAAATTGTTTAAAATAATCCAATAATTTAGTTAAAACTTGACTTCATACTGTTAACGGTTCAACTGTTCAGTCTTGCCATTTGGAAACTGACTTAATCCTTTAGTCTTTAGCGAGTTGAGCTAAAGTGAAATACCACTGCTTTACAGGGAAGTCAGAAAACAACAAACATGGGCTTGGATTGGTTGCTCTTTCATTTGGAACTTTCCATTTACATGGAAAATAAGTCACTTACCTCTCCTGTGATCTTGCTCCCTCCATTAGATCTGCAGAAATGTTGGAGAAAGTTACAGCTGAAGCTTGAAGTTTCTCTGATCTCTCCTTCCCCATCGTTTTTCTTGCTATCATGTCACTGAACGAATACAAAAAAAACACAACTTCAATGACCGTGCAGGAACAAATTTTCAGTGGTGGGCTGCTTAAAGCAAATGTGATCCTTTTTTTTATTTCTAGTGGCACGGAGTATCAAAAAGCAAGCAAGTTTTTATTGCAAACATTTTTGCAAATCACTGCGTAGGCCTCCAATGTAGTATTGTCTCTTGTATGTCATACATTTTAGAGATGTCAAGGCCTTGGAAACTGTGTTGAGTATCTTCTGTAATATGAACAGACTGAAGAAGCTGAGTTTACTCTCCTTTTACAGGTTAAGGGGAGATTTAAGAAAATTCACAAGAATCAAAGGGAGGTTTTTAAAAATTCTTGGACAATGACCACCTTCTTGCCCAATGAATATTTAAGATGATTTTACTGCTGCAATTGCAATGCGTAAATTAAGTTTACATTTTGTAACTGAAAGATGGAGGTAGATTCACTAATCTTAAAGTTGATTTAAAATATTTAATGAGGAAAAGTTGCATCTGTGAGGAAGAGTAAGCAAGCTACACTTGGAAAGAACCAGCTGAGTGAATGATGTTTTGTGCTGTAAGAGAATCAATAAATTCTAATTCATTTCTTTTTTTTTCTAGTAATGTTGGTTAAAACCACAAGTAGATGGGCAAAATTCCTAACTTTGTTTCCTCCCATTTCCTACTTTATGTACCTTCATCCACCTTCACAACATTTTTATAATTGACATCTTCAAAGATACACTTTTATTCTCTCCCATTCATCTGAAAAACATGGGGACTTGTCCCCTTTACAGCATTAGGATGCATTTGCTTCGCATCTTCCCAGTTCACGCAAGCTTTTTCTACCCCACATTCTAATTGTTCTTTCATCCTTCTCCAAGTTGTATGGAGGAAATATTTTGTCCCTTTTTTTTGTTTGGAGCTACTTCCCCTTGCCACTCAAGTAAATTAACTGCTTCTTTCGTGTATTTGTACTTTGACATGGAGAGTTTTAATAGAAATCAGATAAGGATCTCTGAGTTGAAAGAGCTGAATACAATGTCATTTTCAAAGAAATCTTGATCTAAATGATTGGGTTAATAAATGTATGTAAATTATACTTTAAGCTGAAATTGCCTCTTGGTGTACTATTGATTTCAAATTGTGAAGCAATGCTGCTTTATTCTTAGAGATAGTACGAACTGCAGATGCTGGAGAATCTGAGATAACAAGGTGTAGAGCTGGATGAACACAGCAGCCAAGCAGCATCAGAGGAGCAGGACCTGCTGTGTTCATCCATCCAGCTCTACACCCTGCTTTATTCTTAATTGGCCACTCATTAATGTTACCATTAACTTGAGACTCTCCAGTTGAATTTCTTTGCAACCCACTCCCTGACTAAGCATATTGAATTCAATTTTTCACTAAGCAGAATAAGGACTATGAAACTTAATTCTAGGCCCTCTTGAGTTTTGTAGACCAGGGATTCTTGACCAAGGGTCCTTGTGTCTTTGTAGGATCTGCAAGGAAGTTTCAAGGGATCTCTCTTAAAAATCACCAATAGCAAAAGGAAGGGTGGGAGAGTAGAGTTGAGTCAGGAGATTATGCCTCATGAGAGGAAAATGGTGTGGTTCTGCACACCAATAATAATAGTCTCAGGATAGTACTGGAAGAGTTCTTCCAACAGTCAGGTCAGACGTGGAGATGCTTATAGCTTGCATTGTTCAGTTACATTTTATAACTGTTGAAATATTGAACCTGTCAATGCCTACATGGGGCAATGTGTCAACATTCAGACCTGGCTGAAAAATGACGACAAATAACATTTCTATTACACACTAGACAATGATCATCTGACAGGAGACTATGAACATCTCTTGATATTCAGTGGGATTATTATGCTGAATCCATCTAACCTGGGGCTAACTATTTCCCAAAAACTTGACCAGTGCAGCCATTAGAGCAGGTGTCCCACAGTGCATGACTCACCCACCTGACCTCCCAAGCCTTTCCACCACCTACAAGAACTAGCAAGTTAGGTGTGCTGGGTTATTCTCCACTTCCCAGATGGTGTGCAGTTCCAACATCTCCAAGCTTAACATCATTCAAGATAAACCAACTGACTTGATTGTCACTCCATTCACTTTCTCCAACATTATCCCAATGTTGTTGAAATGTGTACCATCTTTGAGATGAAGTGTAGTAACTAGCGGAAGCCCAGCTGTCTTCAATAGTATGCTCCAAACCCTTGACTTTCTCCATTTAGAAGGACATGGGCAGCAGATGCACGGGAACAACAAACCTTCAGATCTCCAATTCTCCAGAAGGTAATGTGAGCACCTCTTGAAAGTAATAAGGATATAAAAGAAATACTGGCTTTTCCAGCAATATTGCCATCTTGGGAACAACCAAACTAGTTTTTAAACCTAAGTTTTGAACCCCAGGCTGTACTTGTGACACCCTGTCACCTCTATTATAAATAACACCTGTCACCTCCTTGCCTGTTCCTCTTCATTGAAAGAAGATATGCACTTATCACCATCCACTCAAGAATTCTCATTCAATACTTCTTAGTGGTTCCAGGGCATTTAACCCATTACTGCAGAAGATCAGTTACTTAGCTGCACTTCCAAATGCTTACACCAACCTTGTTTGTTTGCAATTCTCGAGTGACAATCTTGAATCTAATTAACTTACAATTTGTTTCTTTAATAAAAAAGGGTTCAAATGTATCTACACCACCTTGCCTGGCACACTCCACCTTTTATTTTGACTCCAGTCCTTAAATTTTGTGTACAGCATTATGATTTTCTTGGATTTAACCTCCATAGATGGTTGTTAACACTTCTCTAATTCTTATTCAGTAGTCCCAGGTAGATTACTGTCCTTCTTAACCCAGTCCTCTTAATGTCAGGAAGTTGTCACCTCCCTTGGTACTACTATGCTGGTTCAGCCTGTGGTGCAGACTTTACTCTCCAACCCTGCTCCTCCCCTCACCTCACCTCACCTCCCAACCCACCTCAAAAAACTTCAAAGTATACAATTACCCTTTCTGGAACTGAAACCTAAAGAGATGGTGGGAAACTGACTTGATAACCTTGACTGCATTGGTATGACTACATTTTCACCATAATGTAGACATATTGAAAGATGTGCAAGTGGCTTTGAGTATTGTCTGTAACTGGACCAGACTTGGTTGTGTAGCTCAAGTTTTATAGTAATTTAAATGTGATTTGTTTTTAGATATTTGGTGAATTATTGAAAGGTAAGGACCAGTTCGATCTGCAGATGGAAGTCAAGCAACTTCTTTATTAATTAGCACTAAAATTTTACAGGTCTTTTTAAAAGGTTGATGCAGGCACATGCTTGATAGTGCAGTAAGAAATCTATTTTCATGTGAAACTAATTGTAATATTTCTCACTTTCCCAGAGCTGTGTCAGCACTACAACAGTGTAAGAGCAAGGTGGATGCTATCCTGGAGGGAAAACCTTTAATTCTGCAATTCCAGGGAATAGGGCAATTTAAAAACCAGGTCCTGTTCGCAAAACTGTCAGAAGATACTGATGATAAAGTAATGTCTACTCTGAAAGCAGTGGCTGGTCAGTACAAAGTTCATGGGTTGATTTTATATTGTTTTGATCCAAATCTGATGAAGTTTTTATTTCATAGGTTACATTGTTATACAATATTACTAAGTGCAAGGCTGTCCATCTTTTCAGTCCTACATGTTTCTGTAAGTCAGTCATGAAACTAGGAATATGACTCAAGTTGAATTTAAGACATCCGTTTGATATTTTCCCAGATGATCACTCATGTTATCTTGTATTTGCCACCTGTACCTGGTATATGGTCGTGGATAAGAATTGTTTGAGATTTTTTTTTTTTTTTTTTTTTTTTGCTTTGTCTTGGGCCTATTTAGAGATTTGAGGTAGACAATCCACCACCAGAGCTGTCCTTGGATAGCAAGATTTATTGTATGATAGTAACTGCAATTTGAGACAATTAATTATTGTGACCTTAAGCTGATATGGATACATTTCTGAAGAAGGGTCTAGGCCTGAAACGTCAGCCTTCCTGCTCTTCTGCTGCTTGGCCTGATGAGTTCATCCAGCTCTACACCTTGTTATCTGCAGTTCCTACTATCATGGATACATTTGCTCTCTCTGAAAGCTACAGTAAAACTCATTGTATCAGCCAGAAGGCACCACACATTCTATTGATGTCTCGCAATGTAACATGAACAATAACCCCTGAAGAATATTTTGTACAACATCTACCCCCGAATCTTTCTTCACCATAGTTAACCCATTATATGACTTGTGTAGATACTTAACACTACCCCATATCTTCCCTTTGTTTCCTCCAAACTTTATTCATAATTACAAGTGATCTGGACATTTCTGAAGTCTCAGACTGTGCACTCTTTCTACATGAAAAAAGAATAGATATTTTGCTTGAGGACACTTCACCCTGGCTTAGATTGGTGAACATTTCTCTGCTGGAAAATCTTTACACTCTCCGATATCCTTCAGAGAGGACTTTTAACTTTTTTTTTTGTAGACCTATTGATCCATTATCTTATCTAGGATACTCTTAATCCCTAAGTTTTCATTTGCAGAACAACTCTTCCCTACTAATTCGGGTAGTTTTAGGACATCATATGATGGATCTTTTATAATCTAATGAATATTTTGACAAAGTTTCTTCTTTTACCATATCACAGCTCTGTGGACATTGGTCTGGCTCCCATACAGCTTATTTCCTTTGAATTGTTGTTTTTTAAGCTGGACATACTGTTCCAGTTGTTTGACTGGTGAAGTAGATTTTTTTTTCAACCTGTTGCCTAACTGAAGGATTGTTGCTCACTAGGTTCTGCTGACCAAAGGTAATCAGGGAGAGTTTTCTGAATGGCTCAATTAGGTTGGGTCCTCCTCCTCCTTCCCCTGCTCCCCATATTCATGTTGTCTTATGGGAGTTCTAGTTTCTGATTTGCTTTCAGTAATGACAAGGAGTGTTTTCCAAACTTGCCGTATAATTGCAGATCTCGCAATGGGCTATGTGATCTTCAATCTGTTGTGATCTCTGGCCACCATGCAGCTGACTGAACCTTGGCAGTACACCTAGAAAATGCCTTTTTAGTTTTGGTATATCCTTTACAATGTATCTTCTCAAAAAGAAGCTGGAGAACTCGTTTTCTGTTTAAACCCTAGTAAATTGTCCATGAATATGAAATGCTATTGGTACTTTAAAAATGTGTTCTTGGCCATATTGTTGGTTTGCCTATCCCTCAAAACCCTACTGGAAATGATTGCATCTGTCACTTCCTTTTTTTTTGTTTTTGTATTTGGAGTTGAGCCTCTCTTTTTGGCTTGCTCGCCACAGTTTTTGTTTCTTCCCAGTCATATGAAACTTGTGCCCATTGTAGTTAATTGCAGCTTGCTTACTTTGTGATTCATTTCATGAACCTAGGACCAATTAAATTGTAGTTCAGTTGCCCTCCACCTAGTAGGTTGACAGTCTTCAGTTTCTAGACTGGTTCTTTGTGAGGCAGTCCAACTTTTTTTTAAGGAAGTGTGAGTTGTGACATGCATGCAGGCTCAAAGGTAAACTGGTTGTGAACAATGTGCCTGTTTTCAACTGTGGTGGAGCATAACTTGTAAAATAGCTGTGCACTTGTTAGTTATTCCACCAATGCCATGAGGTCTTTGTTATCAGACCAAACACTTTTCAAATATATCAAGAAGATAGGGAATAGGCTGACTTTTATCTTATTTAAAGGTAAGTGTAAAGTGCTGTGTTAAAGATGTAATTTGATTGGTCCCACGACGCAGCTTTAAGCAAAACACTTTATTCTTACTCTACAGTTAAAATATAAACAAAAGAAAGAAGAATTGGCATATCTGTAACTCTATTGAAAAACTTAACAGAATAATAGACTTTTTAACTACTAAACTGCAACTGTTCCAATATAGCAACATCCCATAAACACACCCTTGGCAAAGGCAAGTTCAGGAAAATAGATTTCCTGCTGCCAGAATAACATGAGACAGAACCCAAGCTTTTAGCTATTAGAGAGATGCAGCAATTTTCACAACCACCTTCAAACTCCAGCAACTACTGAGAGTTAAACTAAAACCCTTGTTCTGTGGGAACTTGACTCCACCCATTCATGCTACTTTTATTACAACTTTTTATAAAACACAACTAAGGCCTCATAAGCTCTTTATTGGCTTGGAGGGACAGCTTGGTACCTGTGGCTCAAAACCTCCCATTTCTTACAAGTGAAAACAGGACAAAACACACCCCTCAAAGCCATGGTGTCGTAACAGTCTCATTTTGGTAGGTTGAAGCTGCCTCAGCCATGATAACTATTCAGTGGGGATAATGATCTTGGCAATGTTTTAGGCTTGTGTTCAGGATATCTATTAACATCAACAAAATCCATGAGTTGTGGATCATTGGGAGCACCAATTCCACATTAAATGCTTGGTTTCCTTTTATAATGGAGATTACTCAACTACATTGAGCTGCATGTGTAACCTTATCTGCAGCTTTGTAACTGTCCTCATTCTGCACTTGGAGTTTGTTTGAGGCAATGCTGCATCTTAACTGTTGTCTCCATAATGTCCAATCTTGTATTCTTCATGGTCCATCTCTGATCTTGAATCTGCTCTGTTTTCCCCTTTTGTCTCATTTGGGCTTTTTTTAACATAAAAGCTCTTCAATCTATCAATGTTGCTTATATCGATTTTTCAAGCTTGTATTCAATATTACTGTATTAGATTTAATTACTGTTAGACTCTGAAATATTCCCTTTATTTGCTAGTCGCTCTCTTGTTTAAATTTTCATCAATAAGGGTTTAAATTGTTCTTCTTGCTGTTCTATCATAACCTATTGCTTTCAAGCTTTTTAAATGTGTTTCTTCGTAAGAATTTTTGTATCCGTACACTATTTAAGTTTTCTGCCTTTTTCTAGGGCTTTCTTGCTGGTTTTACTAATCCAATGTGGTGGTTACCTGTTGTGCACTTGTTTTTTTTCCTCCTACTGACTGCAATCAGGATGGTATGTTCCCGTTTCATCCTGAAATAATACGGATGCTTCCCAGCCTTTTATTGTCTAAAATACCAAGCCCTTTTTCTGAAAAAAACTTGTGGAAAACATGCTCCAGCTGCAATGCTTTAGGCTGTGATTTCAGCAGGAAAGGTTTTTTAACATTAGAGTTCCAGTCCTTCCTTTCGTCAAATCCCTTTTTCTTCTAAGCCCTTTCACTAGATCTCTTAATTCTGAGGCATTTCCATTTTAAACACACTCTGTTGCTCAATTCAGAACTATGCAATTGATGAAATTAAACTTGAGACACATTCCCTGTGGATAGAGTTTTTTGACATGGCTGTATAACAGGTCCACTTCCATGTATTTGCTCAGCAGTAGAACCTTTTTTCCTGCACTGACAATCTAAATTTATTATCTGGCCCATTCACTGTTCCTTGCCACGGAGCCTATGCCAACAGCCGTGAAGCTTGTTGCATTCCATTTTATGTGTTGTTTTTTTCCTAAAATTATCCTCCTTTTTTCCTTTTTAAAAGATTTTGTAACCATACCACCTGGAGTATTGAGTTCTTCCTTTTCCATACCCTCCTTCACCACTTCTTCTGTGTTCTAAGTATATGGTTGGCTTTTCTCCTCCTCCTATCTAGCACTTAACAGCTTCCAAGTGAAGTTTTTTTCCTTTTAAGGCTGCTGAGTTTGCATTCTTTTCTGCTCCCACAGTTGCTGTTCTATTTCAGTTGGCAGTTGTTCCAGCTGCTGCCTTAGTTGCCTGCCCTCTTAAAGTGGGAAACTCATGCTTTTTCTTCCAGGTCTGCTGGATTTCTTCTCCCAGTGTTGGTGGGTTAGTAGTCCAGATCACGACAGCAATTGTGTGACATTTTCCCAGATGACAATTTTATGATTTTGTGGTATTCGCTACCTCTATTATTGTATGGTACTGGGTGATAGCTGTTTCGGTAGTTTTGTTACAATCCTTCTTTGCTTTGTCTTGAGCCTATAAGACTCGGAGTTTTAAAAAAAAAAGGGCTCTGTCTTTCTGTACTTCATCTACGCCATGGGTCAAAAACAAATTTAATTCTTTCACAATGGTAGAGATGGATCATCCATGCAGGACATCAGGCTGAAAATTGTTGCCTTTATCATGAATTTCTGCTATTGATGTAATTTTAAATGTTGAAGCAGCTGTTTCCAATATTCTACTTCTATGACCTAGAGGTATAGAGAGTCTGAGTTAATTATTTTATAATTACACCAGTTGCTTTCAAGGTGGTTTTGACAGCTTCAAAGGACTAAGTAAAATATTGAAATTTTGGATAATGCTTTATCTTGAAGATAAAACACATGTTTTTAAAAGGTTTTGATTCACCACTTGCTAAGGTGGTCAGTAACCCTGAAGATGCTGATGTTGTTTTCATGGCCAGTGCTGTGAAGGCTATAGCAATGTTCTTAGCTGAAAAAAATCAAAAGCCTGTTGACCGTTGGTGGATTGCACATGCCCAGAATCGGCACTAAGCAGAAAATGGTTCGTGTCTTCGGTGCTAAATCCTGGCCTTTTTCAGAGCTAGCTATAGAACTTAGCATAGAATTCCTACAGGTGTGGAGGCAGGATGTTTTTGGCCCGTTGAGTCCACACTGTTCTAAAGAGCATCCCACGCAGACCCACCCTGCCCCTACCCTATAACTCTGCATCTCCCGTGGCTAACCCACCTAGCCTTCACAGGCCAATTTAGCGTGGCCAATCCACCTAACCAGCACATCTTTGGACTGTGGGAGGAAACCCGGTCTCGGTCTCGGGGAATTGACCCCAGGTCCTGGGCACTGAGGCAGCAATGCTAAACGCTGAGCAACCATGCCGTTGTCACAAAGACAAAATAAATGGAATTACAATTTTCATTCAAAACTGCTTCATATGCAGCATTTAAACTTGGATAAACTTTGTTAGTGACTCAATTAGTATAGAAATACAGTGTAATGTAGACATATTGGGTTAAATAAGATGTATCAGTGTGCAAATTGGGTTGCTTTAGCTGTCTCAAAGTTTTCTTGATCTGAATTTGAATGTGGGTCCCCTCAGATTTTGTTTATTTTTGTTATCCTATGTTTTGCACATTTGCATCTGTTTATTGGGTGTCACATGTTGCCTGTTGTAAACTTTATTCCTGATATGTAGAACATCAGAAAATTAGCGATGTGATGTTTTTTAAACACTTCCAATAAGTGGGAAGCTACAGTAAAATAGAAAAGTAATAGGTGATTGCAGACAGGTCTTTAAAACAGACAAAATCTCAAATCTAATTCTTTGAGCCCTTAAATTTTAGCAGTTTGTAAGGTTGCTTCTGGGTGGAAGGGAATTGCTCATCCAGCTGGAGTGCAACACCCTTCTGACAATTAAAATGCGCTCTCCTTGTCTTTTGACAGAATCTGTAGAGATATTGTTTCGAGAACTAGGTGTGAATATTGAAGACAGCAATGAGTTCAAGCCCCATGCAACCTTTCTGAAGCTTTCTAAATCTCCTGTTCTTCGCCGTAAGGTAACGTTAAAGTTTCCCACACTTAAGTTACGTGTATGTCACTTTCTGGAATTCTGACGTGAATTTGTGTCCAATAAGCCCTAAGTCAGAGGTCATATTGCCTTCCTTGACCTTCCTATTGCTAAAATTAAATGATGACTGCCATTGGGTTTTATTTTGACCATGTGAGTAAGCCAAATAGTTGAACAAAAACTAAGATGTCTCCTTTTTTAAATGTTTGGTTTAAAGCAATTTTACAGGTATTTTCTACAAAAAGAGAAACTATATTGATATGTCTTTTTTGTTTTTCTGTAAAAAGTCCCTCTCTTTAAATGATCAATGTCTCAGTTTATAATTAACATTCTCATTCCATTCTGAACACCATCTTTTTTTTATGTTCAGTGGAAACAATGGGTGGAATTTTTTCACTGGCTTGCCATTTCCAATGGCAGAACCAGAATTGTGCATCAGCTCTCTTGCATTATCCCATATCCCATGTGATTACAATTAAAATTCCAAGTGATTCCATGACTAGAGTATTTTCAGTTACAAAATCTGCTGTCAACTGAGATTATTTTAGTCTCCCAGTCAAACTGGGAGCCTGTGTATCACTGCCAAAACTTTCATTACCATTTATACAAGACTTGACCATGAAGATGGCATGGGTTTTTTAACATTTTAAGTTTCACTTTTAAATAACTTGCATTATTGATTTCAATATATTTAGTTATACAAGGTCACTTTTTTTTTCATCTGGCTGTGTTCGAGAGCTGAATCTACTGGTATACCTCTTGGTTGGTACATTGGATACAGGGATATTTGGAATTTTCCTTTTATTGTGGTCAAACAATATTCCTTTACATTCACTGTACAGAATGCATACACTAACATGAACAATGTTGTACTTGCTGTTCTATGGGACATGGCTCAAGTAGCTCTCCCTCCCTTTTTTTTTTATTTATAAAGGGCTTGTTTGAGATCAATCCAGTCCAAGGAAATGATTCAATTGTTGGTCCATTATTCAACTGATGTACAATGTTAGGGTAGCCACTTCTGTTTGGTACCCAGAATGAGGTTTTGCATACGATCTAGTGCCTTTCAATTCATGCATGCAAGTTGGCCGGTGTTTAGGGTGATGGGCAGGAAGTTCTTGCACACATTGTGATCACGCACCATCCTTCTCTTTCTCCAGTTTGTAAACATGAACACTGGTTGCTGCCAATGCACCCTGGCAACAATGTGGGTGCAATTGACTGCACCTGAGCGAAATGTGTAATGGCAACAAAGCTGACAGCCTGACTCTTCAAGGGGAAGCACACAAATTGGTGCATTTTGGTGACAAGAGCATCAATCCCCTCCCAGGTACATTGGAGAGTGGCTGACTCTGAAATTTCACAAACGTCCCAGTGGTTTTCTGAAACCATCTTCTTTCATAAAAGTTGAGAGTCACCCTTCTCTTCAAAGCAACTGGATTTCAACCATTTTGGTCCTTCATTTACTTTCTTTGGCAAATAGCTTCAACTGTGCCCAGGATGACAGGCGACCTTCAGCCTTGAGCAATCGATCTTTCTTTTGTCCTGCTCCCTTCTCCACTTGTTCTGTACAATTAAACAAGGAAACTGATAGCCTCTGGCACAACTGCACAAAGCCTACCAGTGCAGTTTTAAACTAAGACAAACTGGGGAAAGTGGTACCTTGTGTGAACTTAATATATTGGAGCTCAGTTTTGAGTTCATGAAGAATTTTTTGTGGGGGGGTGGAAAATAAAGACTCATGCTTCTTGAACAGTGGCTGAATGTGCTTGACAGCCAACGTCAGCCTTGCTAATTGTACACTTCTTTTTTAACGTGGCGATCTTTCAATTGCTCACAGTGCCCCCTCTGTTTCTACATCTCTCTTGGAAGACGACATGGCCACCATCTACATCTGGTACCACAGTCAGCTACCACTCATTCACCTACTCTTTTTACCTTGGTTCCTTCCCACTCGGCCAAAAAAAAACTTGACATTGGTACTCCCAGGAGTACCCTGTGGGGATTCCTGCTTTACACGAATAGATTGACCAGGAAGGATTCAGTGGAAGAGATTCCATCACGACTATGGATACTTTGGTCTCTGAATCACACTGGTATGACAATTTATGAAGATATTGACACTTTTTTTTGATTTTTGAACATCACCATATTTAACTAGTTACAACTGAAGGAGATCTTTATAATATTCTTTAAATGTGCAAAGGTCTAGTCCTTTGATATCCCTAGACATTATGGGCAATTAATCATGGCCAGTCCACCTAACCAGCATACTTGGACCACAGGAGGAAACCTGCGCAGATGCGGGGAGAAGGATGTTGTGCAAAATATTGGTATTTAATGAGATTTCCTGTAATTTATGTTCATTACCTTGTGGAGGTCAGCAAAATCTCTGGCGCTCTCGCTCACACTATCTCTCTCTCCCCAGTTGGCATAGAACCCTATTTTAAATGTTTCTTGATTCTCCCATAGAGCACGCATGGCCCATGGGGATCATGGTCCTTAATATCACTGTCTATGAGACTTGGTTATTTTGATTAAATCTGTCCTTTCCTATCCATGTATCCTGTTCCTATACTAAGATGACCAAATTCATATTTGTGATCTTGTTAGAATCCAGTAACACTTTTTTTTTTTCTTTTAAAATAGACTAAGTTTAAAACTCAATTTTTCAAGGAATAAAGCCAAAAATTCCTCTTTTGTAGATGTATGTGCAGCTAGTGCTCTGCTATCCGGAAATAATCGGAGATCAATATGGCTTGAGACAAACTGTGGTCAGATACTCGCTGCAGTCACGACCGATGCCACAGATGATGATTCAGCAACTTGTCCAGCTGTTTATTACTTTGAGTCACCAAATCCAATTAAAATTTTGCTTCCTTGACGAGGAGTATCAAATCTTCATGTTCCAAATTCTGGTCTGAATGTTCTCAAATGCCACTCTGAATTGGATTGCCACAGTGGTGGCTGAGTCACTTGTTGGGACTGCACTCTCCCCTGGACATTGAGTCTGCACTTCAATCCTGTCACTTAGTGTAGCGCTTGGCAGTGTCAGCTTCGTACAGTTCCTCTGGCTTCTCTGAACTCCAGTCTCTTAGCTGCACTGAGAAAAGACTACTTTTGGTCTTCATTAAGCCTCTACATGCAGCTCCAGATGGCTCCTGGGACTTGAATGACGCCCAGTTCCTTTGCCATCAGCAGCACTTGATTTTGTATGGCACCACCTTTTTTTTTTTTAAATGGTTGCTTCTCCATTATATTGTCACCTGAGCCAACACCCACTACTATTGCTGCTCATAGAATCCTTAGTGTGGAACAGACAATTTGGCCCATTGAGTCCACACTGTCCCTCTGAAGAGTATCCCATTTGGTCCTGCCCCATCCCTGTAACCACACATTTTCCATGGCTAACGCACCAAATCTGCATATTCCCTGGATGCTATGGACAATCTAGCATGGCCAATCCACCTAACCTGCACATCTTTGGAGTGTGGGAGAAAACTGATGCAGAGACGGGGAGAACATGTGGAGTTTGCACACGGTTGCCCAAGGGTGGAATTGAACCTGGGTCCTTGGTGCTGAGAGGCACCAGTGCTAACCACTGCGCCACCGTGCCGCTCTTCCTCCAGATTCCTGACTACCTGGAAACTGCTAAAATAGCAGATCTCAACCTAGCTTCTAGGCTCCTGACTGACTCTTGATCCCAAGATAGTAACTTTCTACTCTGGATCCCATGGGTCACCGTGCACATCAAACCTCGTCCTGGGTGCTCTCCGTTCTGTGCCAGTCTCCCCACTGCAAGGGTGTGATACTTAGAATAGACAATCTCCTTCCTGACCGCTGTAATCATAATAGTGAAACCTTGCATGGAGCATGCGCAGTTGGTCATTTTGTGAATATCTCTTGGATTTCCTTGAAAACTTTGGTTGCTGTTGCAATGTTATTTGGATACATTGCCCAACAAGGCCATGCCTACATTGGTGCTTCTGTGCAGAAACAGCTTTTTTTTTTTTTTTCTGAGCTCATGTTCAACATTGAATGTGATATTGCAGTGTTGGCAAATCTCTTCAGAAATTTTTGTAGTTTTTCAAGTCTTTGAGTTTGACCAGAGAGATGTAGATTTAAATAGGACTAGAACAATGTTTTTGCTGAAGTATGCAACTTTGAAAAAACCTACATGGATATTAAGTAGCAAGTTTCAACCAAGTCTTGGCAATCAATTCAGTTAACTGTCCTGACGTTTCTAAAATAGAAGTGTCTCCAATTGTATGTACATTTTCTATAACTTGTGACAAGCTGCAGCTGACATTGAACCTGAAGTACAGGAAGGGAAAATTTGAGGAGCACAGGAATAAGTGTATGTGAACAAAATTTTCAAACAAACTTCTTGATATTCCATGTTCAGATGAAAGGCCTGGCTCCTGAGGTGTCTAATTATGTTGTACTTTACGTTAGGGTAGGAAAAAGGAAGATGGACTAATCTGATTTGAGTGTTTGACTGATTATAATACAGCAGAAGGGTTTCCTTTTTTTTTTCTCCACAAAGACAGCAAATTGTAATTACCATCCCATCTTTAAGGTTCTATTCAACTGTATCAAGTTCTTTATAGATGGTAAATGTAGAACCACGAAGCATTTTGGACAAGTTCTTATTAGAAAAGGTCAGCAGGTCTGGCAGCATCTGTGAAGGAAAGATCAGTTAACGTTTCCGGTCTAGTGACCATTCCTCAGTTGGACTTGTCTTTGTTTTTCCTCTTCTTCATAGGTGCTGCCAGACCTGCTGAGCTTTTCCAGCAACTTCTGTTTTTGTTCCTGATTTACAGCATCCGCAGTGTTCTTTTCGTTCTTTCGTTCTTATTAGAGCCTGGCCCAAAGGCCCCCTTTTTAACAGTTAGGTTTGCTTTATCTGTGAGCTAAAATCAAACTTGCAAAGTGGGCAATGCACCCTTTACTCTGAGACATACTACATACAGCATGGGTTCATCCATA